TAGAATGATCTTTTAAGTTTCTGATTTTTCTGTCTTTCCAGCTGAACAGTTCCAAAGTTTATGCATTCCACTACCTGGCCTTGGGTGATTGGTTTTTCCATTCATAAGAAAGGAGGAAGTAAAAGCAAAGACAACGGGTGCTCACTAGAGCCTTTTCTTAGAGTTTTGATTCAGGAGAACTGGGAAGTTCAGTGTCTTATAAATGAAACTGGGTTTCTGGAGTGGACAAAGGAAAGGCATCTTACGGTGTTTCTGGTTCTATTTCTCAAAGGCTTTGAAGCATATAATTAGTTGTTCCTGAATCCCTGTGGCTGTAGTGCTTCATGGTTTTATTTCTGGTCTGCAGTCCTTCAGTCAGGGAACAGTGTAGGTCCAGACAAGGCCTGCACGTTTTCACATGGACACTTCCTGGAGACAGCTGGGATTTTGACTTGAAAATACTCATGCTCCATGCAAGCTTGGAGAACAGTGCTCCCCAGACTGACCCGGGTGCAGGTTGGTGGTGGCAGGATTGTGGAAGCACCCTCCAGTAAGCCAGGGTGCCTCCCTTCTCCTGTTGGGTCTGGGCAGTGAGTGGGGAGGACACAGGATGAACCCCTGGAATGTAACCTTTCACTTTCACAGGAGGAAAACAGAGGCATAATGGGCCCCTGGGAATTCTAAATACAGAACGTGGTGGGCAGATGGTAGAAATTAAAATTGGTGATTTTTAAAAATTGAAGTATAGTTGATTTACAATGTTGTGTTACTTTCTGATAAACAGAAAGTGATTCAGTTATACATACATATATAATATATTCCTTTTCAGATTCTTTTCTGTTAGAGTTTATTATAAGATATTGGACATATTTCCCTGTGCTGTACAGTAGGACCTTGTAATTTCATATATAGTAATCTGCTAATCTCAAACTCCTAATTTATCCTTCCCCCCACTCCCCTTTCCCTTTTGGTAACCATAAGTTTATTTACTATGTCTTTGAGTCAGTTTGTTTTGTAAATAAGTTGACAGTTCCTGTTTTTAAGATTGAGAAAGAGCAGCCAGTGGCCATTCTTTCCATTTCCCTGTTCTCAAGTGTATATTCCCAACCTTTCACAAGATCGCTGGATTTTCTTTAAAAATGTCTTCAAGAGTTTGTCCAACATGAAAGTTGGGTTTTGGGTTTTCCAACAAAACCCCACCTCTTGAAACACCCAGCCTGTAAATGTAAAGTGAACAAACCAACCAGTGGTAATCAATAGCACTGCGGAGTCATGAAAAATTGGAATAGTCTAGAGGTTTCACATTAGGAGGACTAATCACATTAGGTGTTAGCTTATTTGGGAACAAACCCATATTCATCTGCCTGCCAAGGCATCATCATGGATGGTGCTGAGAGTCTAGTCTTCTGATGCCTGTTTGACCTTGAATGGTCTGGAGATACTGCATTGGGAGTAGGAGATGGGGACGGGGGGTGCTTGTTTGATTTGTAGATTGATCTCATAACCTTTTGAAATAGCATTTCTTTCTAGTTAGTTCAGAAGCTTTCTCTTCTGCTTTTGATTTTGCTGATTTGGTCAGTGGGAAAAAAAATATTGCTAATAATCTCATTATCGCAGCGGTATTTTTAAATAAAGTAAGTAGATAGGAGACCAAGGCTGTTAACTTTAAATCATCATTTGGTAGCTATCAGTGTCTGGTTTAGCCTTTTAGGGTTGCTGTTCTTTCTCGGTTGATGAAACAGTCAAATATGCAAGAGCGTATTTCTCATCTTTGTTCCCATCTTTGTTGTTGGTTTCTCAGAGGATTACCATCTGCTGCAAAAACATCCTTGGGTTGATGAATGGGTCATCCTCAGGTCCAGCTTTCTTTGTCTCTCTCCTCCCCTCTTCCGTCTCCTCCTCCTCTCGCTTCTTGCCCATGTATCCGTCCTCAGTCTCATAAAAACATCAAGTCTCTGAGTCTTTGATTGTTGAGGCCATGCTGGCAATTTCTGTTTTCTTCTTCTGTCAGCGTCTCCAGGAGCAATGTGTGCACAAAGACAAAATGCCTTTCAGAGGAGGCTACATCCTCATTTCAGGACATCAAATTGAAGGCCGTTCAGCCGTACCTGACGCTGGTTCTCTTGGCAGCCTGGAGATTAACCTCTTCTAAGGCTCTGCGCTATTTTTGAGGTAGAGTCTGCAACAACATTAAAGCTAGAACCCATTAGGAAATCACTTTCATCATCTCTTCTTTTTCCAAATCAGGGCCTTTTTTTTTTTTTTTCCTGATCTCCTAACCCTTTAATCTCCTTTGTAGCAGAACAAGAAGGCTGTTGGTTTGCGTTTGCATCCAGTGAAGTCTGAATCCTTAACAGCTTTGGAAGACACCAAGATATTAGAGACCCGTGTGGAGAGATGAATTTCATCTCGGGCTGGATGACTTAATGCCAAAGGTGTCCTGCTTTCCTTGGGCAGAACTGTCATTTTTTGGGTGGATATAGTGAGAATGAGGCTCAAACTTTCCAGAAGACACATAGCAGAAAGCCTTCTGTTACATTATTTCTAAAGGCTTGAAGTTTTGAAGGGAAGAGATTTTGTTTTCCTCTCGGCTACACAATGGAGCTTTCAGAGAACCTCTTTTAAAAGGAATAGCTACAGCCTTTGTGTTGAAGGGTGTGCCTGTTGGCAGGGTCTGCTGAGGCAGACAGACTGGCTGGTGATTAACAAAGGTCATTAGACTTTGGAATCCGGCAAGCAGAGTCGGATGGTATGTCTTCTGTGTGTGGAAGGACGACTCCCAAGAAGCCAAGGCATTCTGGAGGTTCCCCCCCCACCTCCAGCACACCCCCAAAGGCTGCTACAGAACAGGGTCATGTCCAGGAATGTCCTGCAGTAACCAGGGCTGTGCTGGGATGAACATACCAGCCCATCAATCATGGGATAAAAGAACCTTCGGGAGATCCTTGGTGAATGACATGTGAGGAGGAGAAAGGTGCTGCTTTTTCGGGAAGGAGTGAAAACAGTTCCTTCTTTGTTGAGAGGAGGAGGGCAGAGGAGGGGCCCAGACTGCTCCTCTCCTGTTTCCTCTGCCTGTCAGCCTGGCAGCATCCATCCCAGAGAAGCCATGTTGTGCTCGGAGGGGAATCTCTGAGCTAAAATGGCCGCTCCCAAAGCTCAGAGGACTAGGGCAGCTTAGTGAGACTTAGAGCTTCAGTGACGCAGGAGCTCCTATCTCTTGAAAGTGTGATAAACACATTCAGCAGAGCTGTGGCTTGTTTGGCTGAGATGAAAGGACTAAGCTGGGGGGATGGGGAGCGCACCCTGGATGATCCGCCTTTTTGCTGTGAAGTGTTCTAAATGCAGGAGTCGTCTGCACTATGGAAAAATTTGTTTTCAGGTCTAATGGGCTGTGCGAAAAGGAGAAGTGGGGTGGGGCGTCCGTGTCGGCTGTAATTTGATCCAGAGCTGATAGCAACCTCTTCCACACAATTTGGGTTGGTGCTGAGATAGAAAAAAGCTGGTGTGGCCCGGAACATGGAGGCTGAGTTAGCTGAAAAGAAGTCTGCTGCACAGTTCAGGGTTTATTGAAAAAGGAGAATCTGCTGGGTGAAAGGAGAGAAGGTAAATAAGTGCCTCTCGCCCTGTGAGCTCAGGCTGTCCAGAGCTGGACTTGCCAGAGTTATTTTCACAGGCTATCAGCAGGAGCATTCTTTCAGAGAAAATCCTCCTGTCATAGCTCCTTTCACTACATTGACAGATTCCTCAACTTTATTCCCCCTGCAGGAATAATTGATCTTTTACAATAAAAGTATAGGAAGGTGCTAAATATGATCACAGTAGTGAAAGGTTTGGCTTGTGGCTTTTGTGCTTGGACATCTGGTTCTAGATTACAGTGGCTTTGTAGAGTCTGCCATGAGCTCAGTGAAGTAACTCCGTCATTAGGATAATAACTGGCTATCTCAATTCAGGATATACATGAAGATAGGAAGGGCATGCCTTCTAATACATTTTTAACTTCTTAATGGTGAGTGTCTCCATTGAGTTTATGGGAAGCTATGTGTATCTTTCAGTCACACAGTAAATAGCAGGGCAAAGGTGGCCAGGGCAAGTTTTGCCTTATTTGAAATCAGCTTCCCAGCTTTTTATGCCCAAGTACACACTTTACATTCGTAAAGGAGAAAAGTGGAAAAAAAGAAGGTCCTGCATTAGAAGCCCTTCTTCCAAACCACATGTGTTTCTGTTGCCTTAGTGTGAATCGAGGTACCAAGGTGCAACTTGAAACTAGAAACTGGATTGTCATCTAGAGTCGGTTGTTGAGAATCTCATGAGAAATATTTTATGACCTAATTAGATTGGAGAAGCTGTTAGGTTATAATTGGTAGGTAGTAAAAAGCAAATAACCATTTAGCTCATGAAAGAAAAAAAATACACTGTGTAAGAAAGGGAAGGAAGAAGGAGGTGTATCTTAATATCAGTTAAGATAGTAGAAGAATAAAAAGTACAGTAAAAGCTTTTTCCACTGCTACTCTGAGGTTCCACACTGTTTTACCATTTGGTGATAAAACATTGATGTTCTCATATGAAAACAGCTAATGAAGATTGAAGTTTACTCTTTCTTCTATATGGGCAGTCTCTTTACTTCTGAGAAGATTCCAGTTCAAAAAAAAAAATAGGTCTCAGCCAGAATCAAAGTCAGTATTAACTTACCAAGAAATCTGAAATCAGTCAAGACACTCAGAAACTACGAAAACTTTTGAAGTATTAAGGGTTTTCTTGACAAATGGCATTTGAAGATATATCAAGCTAGAAAAAGTTTATCTTTTTTTTCCCCTCCTTTCTTTGAAGTTATGATGTCAAGGACACCATTCCTATTATGTCTGATTTCCTTTCTTTGACCACTGTTGCATCTGGCAAAGTCCAGTGAGAGAAATTGGCTGATATTGGAATTCTTTCATTAGTGGACTCATAGCCCCACCAGCTTGGGGGGGGTATGCAGTGAGTACAGGCCTTAAGACGTTTTGTTCTTCCTTCTGCCCCAGGTTCCTAATGTGAGAGAGTAGACCCAGATGATGGAGGTGCTTCAGTGTGATGGCTGTGACTTCAGAGCTCCGTCTTATGAAGATCTCAAGGCGCACATCCAGGATGTCCACACGGCATTTCTGCAGCCGACGGACGTTGCTGAAGACAATGTGAATGAGTCACGATCTGGGTCCATAAATGCCAGTAACCAGACAGAGGTGGAGTTTTCATCTATAAAGGATGAATTTGCGATTGCAGAGGACTTAACAGGTATCTTAACTAGGATCAACTTAACTAAGATCGACACGTCTGGTGTATTTCACTACGCTCATCTATTTTGAGCCTATAGCTGTAGTTCTTTTTGTAAATTTTTTGACAGGAAAGTAGGATTTACTGGTGGGCATGAGTAAGGAGGTGACAGCACCAAGACTCTAATGAATGCAGAGCCCACCATTTGTCCAGAGGGCCATGATAAGGGGTGTATTTGATGCCACAGCCATCTGGGATGAGCCACTTTTCTGCACCATGTTTCCAGATTCATCTGCAGGAAACTTAGTAAATGCCCATTTCCTGGAGGAGCGGCTCTTCTAGTGGCCTGGGAATTTGAACTTGGCCCTGTGGAGGGCCTCGGTCACATACTTCTTGTTCTACAACTTGGTATGGATGGACATTATGACTTGCCAATGTGAACCCCGGCCACTATGTCCTGGGGCTTTCTAAAGTCACAGCACATGCCCTGTCTGGAGCCTGGATTGGGGATGGCATGCCAGTCAGGAATGTCCCCTGGAGGGGACTGTCTTCAAGTTGCTTAGAGCAGCCTGTACAGACAAAGGCTGTGGACCCTAATGAGGCAGCTGTAGCCATGGTTCTTGACATGCACAGCTCCTACAGAGCTTCTTGCTCTTTGTGAGCCATTTTTCTTTTTTATTTGGCTGCACCATGCAACTTGAGGGATCTTGGTTCCCTGACCAGAGATTGAACCTGGGCCATGGCAGGGAGAGCACAGAGTCCTAACCCCTGGAATTCCCCTCTATGAGCCATTTTTGTGATTTGGGTGTCACGTTTCTCTTGCTGAGTAGCCCAGGTAATAGACCTTTCAGCTTCCTTATGTCTCTTAGCTTCCTTTCAATTTGGAGCATAAGGTAGTATCTTGGAAAGTTCTAGAATGAATATCACCTTTTATGAAACTTGCACAGCTCTGTGGCACATAGACAGAGATGAAAGGAGTCTTGCACCTGAAGCCAAGCACTACCTTCCATCCATGAGAGGCAACATGTGTGTGTTCATTAATGCTTCGTTAATACTCTTCAGGGCCTCATCTTGAGATGTTAGGCCTTTTGAATGTGATGTTTATTAATGAAGAATAATTGAAAAGCAGACTGGATTTGCATGATTGAATTTCTTGATTTGCTTTTGCTTCGCTCTTCTCTTCCCACTTACCTTATGCTTTCTCTTTAGGTCAAAATGCAGCCGCCTTGGGGACTGGAAGTTACTATGGCCATAGTCCAGGATATTACAGTCAGCATATTGCCCCTAATCCCAAACCAACAAACAAGTTTTTTCAATGCAAGTTCTGTGTGCGCTACTTCAGGTCAAAAAACCTCCTCATTGAACACACTAGAAAGGTCCACGGAGCTCAAGCTGAAGGGAGTTCAGCCGGACCCCCTGTTCCAGGATCCTTAAATTATAATATCATGATGCATGAGGGATTTGGAAAGGTCTTCTCTTGCCAGTTTTGCACATACAAGTCACCAAGGAGGGCAAGAATAATTAAGCATCAGAAGATGTATCACAAAAACAATTTGAAGGAGACCACTGCTCCCCCCCCTGCCCCTGCTCCAATGCCAGACCCGGTGGTCCCACCCATGTCCCTGCAGGACCCCTGCAAGGAACTGCCAGCGGAGGTCGTGGAGCGCAGCATCTTAGAATCCATGGTCAAGCCGCTGACCAAGTCTCGAGGCAACTTCTGCTGTGAGTGGTGCAGCTATCAGACCCCCCGCCGAGAACGCTGGTGTGACCACATGATGAAGAAGCACCGCAGCATGGTCAAGATCCTGTCCAGTCTCAGGCAGCAGCAAGAAGGGACGAGTGTGCCTGAGGCGCAGAACAAGAACGACCTCAGCCCCACTTCTAACTCCGCCTATATGTCCATGAATGCTGCCAGCCGGGAGTTACCCAACACTAACGTCTCCAGCTTCAGGGGCTCCATCGGCAACTCCATCATGAGACCCAATTCTTCTTCCACTTCCAAGTTTTCGCCCATGTCTTACCCTCAGATGAAGCCGAAGTCACCTCACAATTCTGGCCTTGTGAACTTGGCAGAGAGATCCCGGTACGGAATGCCCGAGATGACCAATTCTGCTGCTGACCTGGAAACGAATAGCATGCTGAATGATTCCAGTTCCGATGAAGAGTTAAATGAGATAGACAGTGAAAATGGCTTGAATGCTATGGATCACCCGACGGCAGGCATGTCTGCAGAGCAGCTGATGGGCTCAGATGGCAACAAATTATTGGAGACCAAGGGGATCCCGTTTAGAAGATTCATGAATAGGTTCCAGTGCCCCTTTTGTCCTTTCCTCACCATGCATCGACGTAGTATTTCCCGTCACATAGAAAACATCCACTTATCTGGAAAGACAGCTGTCTACAAATGTGATGAATGTCCGTTTACTTGCAAGAGCTCGTTAAAACTTGGGGCTCACAAACAGTGTCACACGGGTACCACGTCAGATTGGGATGCTGTGAATTCGCAGAGTGAAGGCATCTCCTCAGCCCCACCCCTGCACCCCTACAAGTGCACCATGTGTAATTACTCCACCACGACTCTGAAAGGGCTGCGAGTTCATCAGCAGCACAAACACTCTTTCTGCGACAACTTGCCAAAATTCGAGGGGCAGCCCTCAAGCCTGCCGTTGGACAGCGAGACAGACAGCCACCCCTCTTCCAGCAACACTGTGAAGAAAAGTCAGACCTCAATTCTTGGGTTGTCCTCCAAGAACAATTTTGTCGCCAAGGCCTCTAGGAAGCTCGCTAACGACTTTCCGCTCGACTTGTCGCCCGTGAAGAAGAGGACCAGGATTGACGAGATAGCAAGCAACCTGCAGAGCAAAATTAACCAAACAAAACAGCAGGAGGATGCGGTGATCAACGTGGAGGATGACGAGGAGGAAGAAGAGGACAATGAAGTGGAGATCGAGGTGGAGCTGGACAGGGAGGAAGAGCCGCCGGAGCCCGTCCTGGAGGTGCCCACGCCCTTCTCTGCCCAGCAGATCTGGGCAAGAGAGGCCCCTGAGCCCCCAAAGGAGCCCAACTTCAGAACTGTCGCCCATGATTACAATGCCACCAATGGGGCTGAAATAGAGCTCACCCTTTCTGAAGATGAAGAGGATTACTACGGCTCCTCCACCAACATGAAAGATCACCAGGTTTCCAATACCACTCTGCTGAACACCCAGACTCCTATCTACGCAACTGAGCACAATAATGAAAATACCGACTTTAGTGACTCGGGAAGGCTTTATTATTGCAAACACTGTGACTTTAACAACAAATCTGCCCGGAGCGTCAGCACCCACTACCAGCGCATGCACCCATACATTAAGTTCAGCTTCAGGTACATCTTGGACCCCAACGATCACAGTGCAGTGTACCGGTGCCTGGAATGCTACATTGATTACACCAACTTCGAAGACCTGCAGCAGCATTACGGCGAACACCACCCAGAAGCCATGAATGTCCTCAACTTTGACCATTCGGACCTGATCTACCGGTGTCGGTTTTGTTCCTACACAAGCCCGAACGTCCGAAGCCTGATGCCACATTACCAAAGAATGCATCCCACCGTGAAGATTAACAATGCCATGATCTTTTCGAGCTACGTGGTGGAGCAGCAGGAGGGGCTAGGCACGGAATCCCAGACGCTACGGGAGATCCTGAATTCAGCTCCGAAGAACATGGCCACGTCCACTCCCGTGGCCCGTGGTGGCGGTATGCCAGCTCCGTTCCCCAAAAACACTCCTTCCAAGACCTTTCCTCCAGAATGTGAAAATCAGAAGGACCCCTCGGTCAACACCGTGGTCGTGTACGACTGTGACGTTTGCTCCTTCGCGAGTCCGAACATGCACTCTGTGTTGGTTCATTATCAGAAGAAACACCCGGAAGAAAAGGCTTCCTACTTTAGGATCCAGAAAACCATGCGAATGGTGTCTGTGGACAGGGGCTCTGCCCTTTCTCAGTTATCATTTGAGGTGGGTGCTCCAATGTCTCCCAAAATGTCCACCATGGGTTCCCCACCCCCCCCACAACCCCCGCCAGACCTCAGTGCTGACCTTTACTACTGCAAACACTGTTCCTACAGCAATCGGTCAGTTGTGGGCGTCCTTGTCCACTACCAGAAAAGACACCCAGAAATAAAGGTTACTGCCAAATATATCAGACAGGCTCCTCCCACAGCTGCAATGATGAGAGGGCCGGAGGGGCCCCATGGCTCCCCCCGGTCATCCGCCCCTATGCAACAGCTCAACCGGAGCAGCTCCGAGAGAGATGGCCCTCCCGTGGAGAATGAGATGTTTTTTTGCCAGCACTGTGATTATGGGAACCGGACGGTCAAAGGTGTCCTCATTCATTATCAGAAGAAGCACCGAGACTTCAAGGCCAACGCGGACGTGATCCGGCAGCACACGGCCACCATCCGAAGCCTCTGCGACCGCAACCAGAAGAAGCCTGCCAGCTGCGTGCTGCTCTCCCCCTCGGGTGTGGAGCGGGACAAAACAAAATTGCGAGCGCTCAAGTGTAGGCAGTGCTCGTACACCTCCCCCTACTTTTATGCCCTGAGGAAGCATATCAAGAAAGACCACCCAGCCCTGAAGGCCACGGTCACGTCCATCATGCGATGGGCATTTCTAGATGGCTTGATAGAAGCTGGCTACCACTGCGAGTGGTGCATCTATTCCCATACAGAGCCAAGTGGTTTGCTCCTACATTACCAAAGGAGGCACCCCGAGCATTACGTGGATTACACCTACATGGCCACCAAGCTCTGGGCGGGGCCAGACCCGTCCCCTCCCTCTCTCACTATGCCAGCTGAAGCCAAAACGTACAGATGCAGAGACTGTGTTTTCGAAGCCCTCTCCATCTGGGACATCACCAATCACTACCAAGCATTCCACCCTTGGGCCATGAACGGGGACGAGTCGGTGCTGCTGGATATCATCAAGGAGAAAGATGCCGTGGAGAATCCCATGCCTTCCTCTGAAGACCTGGTGGGCCCTGTGAGTTGTGAAAACAGTCTGCCCGGCCCGCTCCCTGAGCAGGAAGGCGAATGCCCCGAGGATGCCAGGCTTTCCCCTGAAAAGACCATCCAGCTTGCCTCAGCTAACCCCGCCATCTCCTCCACCCCATACCAGTGTACCGTGTGTCAGTCTGAATATAACAACCTGCATGGCCTCCTGACCCACTATGGGAAGAAGCACCCAGGCATGAAGGTGAAGGCTGCCGACTTTGCCCAGGACATCGATATCAACCCCGGCGCTGTCTACAAATGCAGGCACTGCCCTTATATCAACACCCGCATCCACGGGGTCCTGACCCACTACCAGAAGCGACATCCGTCCATCAAGGTGACCGCAGAGGACTTCGTGCACGACGTGGAGCAGTCCACGGATATAGCCCAGAACGACGTAGAGGAAACGAGCAGGATCTTCAAGCAAGGGTATGGGGCCTACCGCTGCAAACTGTGTCCCTACACACACGGCACTTTGGAGAAGCTCAAGATCCACTATGAGAAGTACCACAACCAGCCGGAATTCGATGTCTTTTCCCAGTCGCCCCCGAAGCTGCCCATGTCCCTCGAGCCGGAGATAACCACTGAAGTGAGCCCCTCCCAGGTATCGGTGACCGAGGACGAGGCGGGAGAGGAGCCCGTGTCCACGTCTCACTTCGCTACCTCGCACCTGGTGTCCCACACTGTGTTCCGGTGCCAGCTCTGCAAGTACTTCTGCTCCACGCGGAAGGGCATCGCCCGGCACTACCGCATCAAACACAACAACGTGCGCGCCCAGCCCGAGGGCAAGAACAACCTCTTCAAGTGCGCCCTCTGTGCCTACACCAACCCCATCCGCAAAGGGCTGGCTGCCCACTACCAGAAGCGCCACGACATCGACGCCTACTACACCCACTGCCTGGCGGCCTCCAGAACCATCAGCGACAAGCCCAACAAGGTGATCATCCCGTCGCCGCCCAAGGATGACTCCCCGCCACTCAGCGAAGAGCTGCGGCGCGCCGTGGAGAAGAAGAAGTGCTCTCTCTGCGCCTTCCAGTCCTTCAGCAAGAAGGGCATCGTGTCCCATTACATGAAGCGCCACCCGGGGGTCTTCCCCAAGAAGCAGCACGCCAGCAAGCTAGGGGGCTACTTCACCGCGGTCTACGCTGACGAGCATGAGAAGCCGCTGCTGATGGAAGATTCGGAAGAGAGAGGCGCCTTCGAGAAAGCCGAGATGGAAGGAAACGAAGGGCAGGACATCGAGTGGCTCCCGTTCCGCTGCATCAAGTGCTTCAAGCTGTCCTTCAGCACGGCCGAGCTGCTGAGCATGCACTACACCGACCACCATAGCCGGGACCTCAAGAGGGACTTCGTCATCCTGGGCGGCGGCCCCCGGCTGCAGGGCTCCGCCTACCAATGCAAGCATTGCGAGAGCAAACTGCAGAGCACCGCCGAGCTGACCTCGCACTTGAACATTCACAATGAGGAATTCCAGAAGCGTGCCAAACGTCAGGAGAGGCGGAAACAGCTTTTGAGCAAGCAGAAATATGCAGATGGTGCTTTTGCAGATTTCAAACAAGAGAGGGTAAGGATATGTTTTGATTTCCCTTCCCCCAGGAGGCCTCTCATCACTGGTGCCCACATGCACTTCTTCGCTGCCAGCCAAACCGCTCCGGGCTTCCTAGTGACTTAGCTTGCCAGAGAGCTCAATAAGTCAATTAAACATTTCGAGCTTGATTATCTCCCCCATTCTCTGCTCACCCTTCTCCACCGCCCCGGTCCCCCTCCCTGTGGTCCCTCCCAAGCCTCCCCAGGGGAGGGTCGGGTGGTTTTCCTGTATTCTCTGAGGCCTAGTTCACGACAACCGCTCGCTCTCTTAACCAAGGCAGTTGTGGGCCATCTCTCCTGTCCTTAGTGCTTCTCAGCCATGCCTTGGTTTGCAGTGTCGGCTCCACGAACCAGACATCTCCAGGAGTAGATTTTTGTTTTTCTTTTCTTTTTGGTCAAGAAGTTCACTCATGGCATAGCTCATGCAACGTTTCACCTGCGTAGTTGAACGATGGGTTTGAAAGCCAGATAACTGGGTGGCAGTGATGATGAGGCTTCTGCACCGAGAACTCTCCTCACAAGTCGTCACCTACTGGGGTTCCGGAGACTTTGCGTAGTCGGCAGCGCGCCTCGCCTCTGATGAATTCATTATGTAAAAATGCTCGCATATATCTCCCTTGGTTCTTAACCTGCTAATCTGCTGTAACGTAAAATCTAGTAAGCTGCAAGAATAAATGCCGGCCACTGAGGGAGGGCTCGGAGTACTGATGGCTACCACTGTATTTTACCAGCCTTTTGGTCACTTAGAAGAGGTGCCAAAGATCAAGGAGAGGAAGGTGGTGGGCTACAAGTGTAAATTCTGTGTGGAAGTGCATCCGACGCTCCGAGCCATCTGCAACCACCTCCGCAAGCACGTCCAGTACGGCAGCGTCCCCTCCGTGTCCGCCGCCGTGAAGGTGAGCACTGGGAAGGTCTGGATGAGAAGTCTTGTGTGTGAGCTATTCGCGTTCCTAATCCACGCCGCTGCTCAGAGCCACTCAGGAAAGGGCGTCCCAGACGTGGGCATTCCTGAGTTACACTGGGATCGGTCTGGCTTGTTTTGATTTCTTTACAGGTTGGATCCTCCTCATCTTCCGTGTCTCCACCCGGTTGCGTTTCGATCTGGTTCCCTTCCACGCGGATAGTTCGGTGGAAACAGAAGATCCGGGCCTCTGGATACAGGAGGCTTTGGGTCACCTTCCTGTGCTGTGTTTGTGTTTCCAAGTGTTTCGAGCTCTTGAGAGGAGCCCCGTGGCTTCTCTCCCCATCCTCTTCTGCTCCTCCTGCTGCCTGACTTCTTGTCTGTCTTTCTCATCTGGTAATGGTGCAGAGAGCCCAGGAGAATCTGTCTTTTAACTTCTTATTCTGGGTCCTCGGAGGAGCATTAAGAAACATTAAATCTAAAACTGAAAGCCTTCAAGTCACAGTTGGCCCTGTGAGCCCTTTGACCTGATTTGTCTCTCCCATCCCCTTTCCCTATATGTTGCTGACAAGCACCTCCCCTCTGCCTCCGACGTGTTACCAGGCCACCTGTTTTGAACATCACAATGTTAAATATTAGTCACTGTTTTAATAACCAAGCCACCATCCCTGCTTCCTAGGATATTGTTAGCCAGTGATCAGTTTTGAGCAGAAAAGTTAGTTCAGGGCTCTGCCCTGTCTCTTTGGATACATGAATGTGTTTTTGTCATGGGCCCTTCTCGATCTTGCGTCCTGTTTTGCCATCGTGGCCTGGAGGTAAAGCTTCTGCTTTTCCCATTGAAGACTGGAGCCTTCCTGCTGGCGACACAGCTGTCAGTGGTGCTGGGACAGCAGCGGCCAGGTCCTTGCCCGCCATCGTGGTGTGTCCCAGCCTTGCGTCCCCGAATCGCTCGAGGGAGACAGAGCAGCTCTTCCTGTGTAATCCAAGGAACCACCTCGAAACACAAGCAACTGAAACCCAGGCTTCTCCTTAATTTTTTGTGTTGACTATATAGCAGCCTTCGGTCAAGGGGTGACGTCACCATCTGTGGGCTGGAGATGAGCATGGTGGCAAACAGCTGGATCTTTCAGTTTCCTTCCTGTCCTGAGGGTGTTCCAAGGCTCCTAAATGCCCAAACCATTCTGTTTTTCCTTCTTCCTGCCTTTCTTCCTTTCTCAGAGCCATAACCCTAATCTGCTTTGTACCAGTTTCAGTAGGGTCCCAATTAGAATTTTCTCTGTAAGATGGGAGATAAGGGAGTGAACTGTCTTCAAAAGTGGGAGAGCCTGTCCCTCACATTTCTCAGACAGTAGCAGCCTATGCCCAGATGGTGCCCTCCTATCACCACCACTGCATGAGGATGGCATTCGGGTGTGCCCTTCCTCTAGGGGGAGCCAGAGAGGCAGGGGAGGACGCCTTAACAGGAAATGCTGATGAGTTTGGGAGAATGAAGGGAGAGGAGGAGAGCTGGGGGCAATGATGATGGATATTTATTTTGTTGGTGGGGCATGTGTGTGTGTGTGGTTCTCTTAGCAGGAGGCTGAAGACCCTTCCCACTTGTTCCTGGATGGACTGGAAGCAGCCAAAGATGCCCCTGGCGCCCTGGTGGACCGGGTGGATGGTGAACACTGCTTGCTTGATGGAATGTTGGAGGATGAAACCCGGCCGGGGGGATACCATTGTAGTCAATGTGACAGAGTCCTGATGTCCATGCAGGGGCTGCGTTCTCATGAGAGGAGCCATCTGGCCCTGGCCATGTTTACCCGCGAGGACAAGTACAGCTGCCAGTATTGCTCCTTTGTTTCTGCTTTCAGGCACAAGTAAGTGCTCGCCGAGGGTCCACCAGTGGTACCTGGGAAGGGGCATGGCAGGCCCGAGCGGTTGGAGGAGTCTCAAGACCCCTCTCCTGGTTCACGCCCACTGTTTAGTTGGCTATGTTACCTTGAGCCTCAGTCACCCCATCTGTCAAATGGGGCTGAGAACAGGAGGCTGGTCACTTGATACCAGACTTGGCAAAATCAAGCATTTTTCAAAAAACTAGAGTGTAGTTAATTTACAAGTTTGTGTTAGTTTCAAGTATATAGCAAAATGATTCAGTTACACACACACACACAAATACGTACACATATTCTTTTTCAGATTCTTTTCCAGTATAGGTTATTATTAATATAAGATATTGAGTATAGTTCCTTGTGCTATACAATAGGTCCTTGTTTACATATTTTATATATGATAGTGTGTACTTGTTAATCTCCCTAGCCCACCCCCCAACCATCCCCTTTGGTAACCATGTGTTTGCTTTCTATGTCCATGAATCTATTTCTGTTTTGTAAGTACATTCATTTATATCATTTTTTAATATTCCACATATGAGTAATATCATGTGATGTTTTTGTCTGACTTACTTCACTTAGTATGATCATCTCTAGTTGCATCCATGGTGCTGCCAATGTCTCTTTTATAACTGAGTAACAGTCCATTGTATAAATATGCCACATTTTCTTTATTCATTTGTCTAACAATGGGAATCTAGGTTGCTTTCGTGTCTTGGCTGTTGTGAATAGTGCTGTTGTGATCATTGGGGTGCATGTATCTTTTCTAATCGGAGTTTTCTAAATTGGGCATTTAAAAAAAATGACGGTTTTGGAGGAATTGCTATGATCTACACCAGGAAAGACCAGAGAGTACATTAGTTTACTGGTGCATCTGTCAAACATTCATCCAGAACCTAGTCATCATATGAGGAAGTAAGTTTCCATTTGGGAAATTTAAGTGGCTAAGGAGGTAAAATTAGGACTGTTAACCCATGTGACCAAAGAGTCATTGCTTGGCATTAAGAAAAAAAAAAAAAGACCTGGAATGGTAAAGAAGTTTATTGATGCTGGAGAGATGTTTGAAATGTAGGGGGTTTGGCAGAGGGAGCTTTCCACTACTTGGCACAGCTTTGAAATTGCACATTGGGTTTTTGTGTGAGGCCGTTCAGAGTGATGGGAAGAGGGATGGTTCTGAGATGCAACAGCCTTTTGTTGCCTTTCTCTCACAACTGTATGAGCGAGAAATATTCAATAACATGTTCTGCAGTCTTGGATGAAGGTGGCTGATTGTGAGGCTGACATGCTGTTTATTTTTATCATAATTGAAAATAAATGATGGGCTGTTTGCTTCTTCAAAAAGATAAGGTGCTAGTTAGTGGTTGTTGAACGGCAAGAAGAGGCGATGCCTCTACCGAGGTTAGGGAGGGCTGCAATGGCGTTTGTGATTATACAGGTCCTAGGATCTAATCTTTGTCATCAGATTCATGCTCTGGCCTTAAACTAGTGTAGTTCTCACCCGTTCAGTAAATGTTTGTTGGACAGCGACTCTCTTTTCTGACACACAGAGCCTCAGTAAGCTGTTGTGAATAAACGAATATGCTTTGTTGCAAATGCTTTGGGGGGAATATAAACATGAATAGGACATGGTTGGTGGTCCAAAGGAACTCACGGTCTAGTTGAGTTATAAGTAAAGGAAGCATACAAACGACTTGGCAAAATAACGCACATGTCTTTAAAAAATGTATCAATAAAATGCTACGAAGTTTCAAAGAAGAGAGATGGTACATCCACTTTTGAAGAATCAGGATTTTATGGAACAGGGAGTTTTTGGGTCAAGTCTTCAAGTAGGAGGGTAGAACTTGAGTTTGGAAAGAACATATAGTGTGAAAGGAAAGATGAGAGACGAGGGTCCTGAGGAAGAAGGTGATGCTCAGAGGCACTCGGCTGGTGGTCCTGTTGGACTTTTTGGGGTGGGGGGGGCACAAGATATGTGGGATCTTAGCTCTCTGACCAGGGATCAAACCCATGCCTCCTGCAGTGGAAGCATGGAGTCTTAACCACTGGATCACCAGGGAAGTCCTTGGTTGGACTAATTTTTAAGTGATACAGTAGAAGGTAAAGTCTGAATACTTGAGACCATATTTGGGGTCTTTGAATGGGGAATGCATGCTTTGTAATTTACGTTACTGGTAAAAGGAAGACTGTAATGAGTAGATATCTTAATCACTGACATTTGTCAAGCCTCACTGTGTGCCAGGCATTGTGCTACGTACCTTCAAGCATTATCTCATTTTATTCTCAGAACAGCCCTATGAAGTGTGGTCCCATTATTATCTCCATTTATGGATAAAGAGAAGTCAGGCCTTTTAACGTAGAGAAGTTGTGTAACTTGCCCAAGGCCCCTCGGCTTATGAGTAATAGCTGGTGTTTGATCCCAGGCAGTCTGACTGCATCACTTGCGCTTTTGAGTTGGGGGGAAAAAATGGGGGAGACCAGGTAGGAGGCTCATGATAGATAGCTGAGCCAACGGGTTAGAACGGAACTTTGGAAACAGTTAAGGGAAGGATGATCTTCATGGCTTGGAAAAATTGACTTCTTGGAGGGGAGACTGGACAGAGTACAGTGCAAATGACAGGGAGGTTTCCAGCCTAGTTGACTGATAGCATGGAAGTGCTCTTTCTAAAAACAAGGAAGTGAAGAGAATTTGTTTTGGATTAAAAAAAACAAAACCAAACCGACACTTTTGTTTCGGGTTGGTTGAGTTTAAGATAGCTGAAGGACGTCCAGAAGGAGGTGTCCTGAGGCAATGGAAAGTGCTGCTTGGGAGCTTGGGAGAACATTATATATTTAAATGCTAAGAAGTACCGTTCCCATATGAGTCATTTAGAATGGAATCTAGTTCTCTGGGGCACTGATACAAATTAGAACGTCTTCCCACACCTTGTTTGGTAGATTTATTATTTTTTTAACAGTAGTAATTATTATGAAATACTGGGAGTTCATTATAATAATTTCTGTGTAAGTTGCTTCTGAACAACTGGTATACAGCAAACATGGTTTTATCAGAAGGCAAGGCCAGCCTTTGGATCACACAGCTTCCCATAAACATGCCTGCCCTGGGCCTCCATATTTATAAAGACTGTGGAAATAGACAGCCCATTGCAGATAGTTCAGCCACTTTGAAAGCTCCCTGCCCTGCACAGGTGTTTATGGTGGAATTAAGATTTAAAAAGAAAGTCAGCCCTTTTTACATACAAAGTTTCTCTAAATCTCATTTTGTGGGGGAAGATGGGGAATAAGTTCAAGGCCTCTTTGATAGACACTCCTCACTGACTTTGCAGAAAACTTTAATTTGTCCGTATTTTACCTTTTGTTTTTGGATGTCCTCTTCTACTTTGCAATGCTTTAGAGAAGGGAAAATGAGTCTACCAAGACCTGTTTCCATTGCCATGTCTCTCAATCCAAAAACATTTTTGATTTCTTCCTTCCTTTAGCTTCCCTAGCTCTTGCCAGTCTTTTTTTTCCGGTTAAGTGCCATCCTTGGAAAGTAACAAAATTACTTTGAACAGCTTAGAAATGGGATTTCTGGAAAAGGGCAATGAGAAAATGTTGGATGCTGTTTTTAATCCTGTCATTTCCTTTTTTTTTTTCTCTTCTACATCCAGTTTGGATCGCCATATGCAAACCCACCACGGACACCACAAACCATTCCGATGCAAACTCTGCTCCTTCAAATCCTCCTACAACAGCCGGCTGAAGACACACATCCTCAAAGCTCATGCTGGTGAGCTGTTGTTCATTGTACACTAGTTCTCTGAATTTGAAATCCAGTGGTCTTTAGTGAGTGAAATTTTAAGTCTCTTGCTGCATACACATGAGAATAAGTTTTCTTTGAAATCGTCATGTATTCAGTTTTATCTCAAGCTAATAAAGAAAAATTAAAGAATGGCCCCAAAGGCAAAATAATACCAAGCCCCATGTCACCCATGTCATAGTTGATTCATTCAACTAATATGTATCCACTAACGGATTTTTGCTACTCACGGGTTCTGTTTTTTTAAGAGAAATTTCTACATTACATAGACTCTCTAATGGAAGTGCAAGAATTGGTACATCTACTAAAAGTAATTTCCAACTAAAATAAAGTTATAATCTTAGAAATGTTGAAAGGGGCAGAGAGAAATCAGGATATCTGAGATTTCTCCTGAGATGCCCTTACATTCATTTCCATGTCCCAGATAAGAGAGATCTTGGGTCCTGAGTGTCCAGGAGCTGTGCTGACCTCTGTTACTCTGCCTTCTCATCGGGCTGGTCTCATGAACATCCCTTAACAACTAGGCTCTGCCCTAAGAAGATGTGATATTCATCATCCCATTTAATCCTCAAAACAACCCTAAAGGGTGGATGCTGTTGTCACTCTTCACTCTTCAGGTGAAGCTACAGAGATTCAAAATTAAGTGTCCTGCTCATGGCCACCCTCGTGACTCAGATGGTAAAGAATCCACCTGCAATGCAGGAGCCCCGGGTTTGATCCCTGGGTCAGGAAGATTCCCTGGAGAAGGGAATGGTTAGCCACTCCAGTATTCTCGCCTGGAGAATTCCACGGACAGAGGAACCTGGCGGGCTATACAGTCCATGGGGTCGCAAGAGTTGGACACGACTGAGCGCCTGACACTGAACACTTTCTCAGCCACAGCCCATTCACTAAGAATCTGACTCCAGAACAAAACCCAAACATCCTTGAACTCACATGTTGCTACCTCTCTCTGTTTTGCTCTTCTCTACTTGGCGTATGATGGAGATGCCCACAGATAGCTAATCAGAACTCTGCCGAGAGGATAGAGGCCTGAGTAGGAAAGGCAGTGGCGGGGGAGCCTGGGGGCATTTCCCATGATTCCTCAGTCCTCTGAGAAGCCCAGCTGTACCGCCGCCTCTGGTGCCCTCTCAGAGGCGTCGACCGCCCTTGAGGAACTTGCTTCAAACGCAGAGGGAAGTTGGGGAAACAGACAACTTTAGAATAGCTGCTGATACTATCAGAGATTCTCCTAGAGATCAAGTCTCCTCCATGAGTTTCCTCAGCTAAGGTATTTAGAATACTAGTTGAATTCTAGTTTATTTTTTACTTTTTTATTGGTGTATAATTGCATTATAGTGTTGCATTAGTTTCTGCTATACAATGAAAGTGAATCAGCCCTATATAAACATATATCTCTTCCCTTTTGAACCTCCCTTCCACCCCTCCCCACCGTGAATTCTAGCTTTAAATTTTTCAGTCAGCTAGAACTTTTCCGTCTCGTTTATTAACTTCTGTTGTATGGTTATGAAAACTGCCCAGAACACAAGTCCTTCACTCTGGTCATCTCTTCATCCCCTGTGGCGAAGAAGGCAATGGCACCCCACTCCAGTGCTCTCGCCTGGAAAATCCCATGGACGGAGGAGCCTGGTGGGCTGCAGTCCATGGGGTCTCTAAGGGTTGGACACAACTGAGCGACTTCACTTTTCACTTTCATGCACTGGAGAAGGAAATGGCAACCCACTCCAGTGCTCTTGCCTGGAGAATCCCAGGGACGGGGGAGCCTGGTGGGCTGCCGTCCCTGGGGTCGCACAGAGTTGGACACGACTGAAGTGACTTAGCAGCAGCATCCCTTGTGGAAATAAGACCATCTCTTTGTTATTTCCTGAATGTTGGGTTCTGTTGAACTGTCTTAATGGAGTAAAACTACTGAAGCTTTAAGTTCACAGCAGGTGGCAGGGTGCGGGGGGTGGTCGGCAGATTAGCCATATAGGCTCTTTTCTGTTAGTATTTTTAAATCTCCCAGAACATTTTTACTAAAGTCCAAGGAGTAAGAGGTTTTGGGGATCAAGCCACTCTTTTCTAACTGGTGTATATTATAAATTATTCAGCTGGGACACCATCCTCAGAAGTTTTTCCTATAGATCTCAGCCTTGTCAAAAACACTTTACCAGTGGGAGTTGGGTAAGTGATTTGGCCTGTGGGAAGGACTTTAAAATAAAGTGCCACAGGCTACACACTGACTCTAGGGCACGAGCTGAAGTGTATATTCTTGGAGCTGACCGAGCAGACTGGCCTTCTGTGCTCACTGGTTGGCAAGAAGAAAGCGTCGAGAGAGAGTGGGAGCAATGCTCTCTAGTGCTCTGCACACCTTGGACATCTTGGTATCTTGCAACCTTGGTATCTATGACATGGCTCAAGTCAGATCATTTTCCAAAAAGACTCTTGACTTGTCTCTTCTACTCAATAGAATATTTTATTTTAAAGGGCAAAAAGTAGTGTGCACTAACCAGATACCTGCATTGGAATTCTCTCTCGAGTTATGCCACTTATGACCACCCACCAGGGTTCACATAGCCATCTTTGCACTGAAAAATCAAGAAGTGGAATAAGAAGAGCAGTAGTATATAAAATGACATATATGCTTATTTTAATTGTTTGTTAAAGTGTTTATTTATTTGGCGGTACCTGGTCTTAATTGCAGTAGGAGGGATCTTTAGTTGCAGCATGTGGGATCTAGTTCTCTGACCAGGGATCAAACTTGGGCCCCAGCAGGGAGGTCCCTGTATTTATTATGTTAGTAAATATCATTGTTCATGCCCAGCATTATCCTGTAGCTCCCAGGTCATGGTTTGAGGAGCGTGGAATTGACTGATTTCTTGTTTGGGTCCTCTGACTTCTTTGAGCTTCCCTTCTGCTTTGGGCTGTAGCATGTTGCATCATTCAGGGTTTTGTGTGGGTCTCTTCAAGGCTTTCTTGGAAATGCACGCTGTGGGGGTCATCAGTTGTAAAAAGGAGGCTGAATGCAGGACTTTGGATGCTGGCGTCGCCTCACATGAAACCACTTAGTAATTTTCCACTTAGTAATTAGGTGGCGGGAAGGTAGCCATCATAACAGGGTAAAAGCAAGGATGGAGGTTTACTTGCTCTTTCTTGCTTTGCTATAGTGAACATTTGTCTCTAGCACATCGTCAGCATCGTCCTCAGTTCACATTCACTGGTCCTCTCCTCTGGATTTCACATTTTACCTTAAAAATAAATTTTAAAAATACATGTTCTTTAGAGAAAATTTGAAAATAAAAGAAGAAATGCAGTAGCCATTCACAACCTTATTATCTAAAGAACACAATTAATATTTGATAATATTTCCTTTCAGCCATTTCCTCTGTAATTTTTTCTCCCAGGTGTGATGATAATTTAATGTATTATGCCTTTCTATTTATTTTTCTGAGTATCAGAAGTTTATTTTCCTATGTATGACCAACTCTTTAAGAATTTATTTTAATGAATAGTAATTTATCAAGAAGATATACCCACATTTACTTAATCATTTCCCTGGGGTTGGAGACTTAGATTGTTTCATCCCTTTTTTAAGCATAAATAATATATATTTCTAAATAGAGATTTCTGAGTACTAAAGGATATTTCCTTAATATAAACTCTCAGAAGTGGAATTACTGAATTTCAGGCCTGAGCTTTCTAAACTTATTGTTGTTAAAAGCAGAATTGCTTTCTGACTTGATTGTACCAGTGTTTGTCTGTCCAATGACGTATGCATGCCCATTTTACACCCTGCAGTTCATTTAAAAGCTGGCTTAGGGCAAAAGTAAATCATAGTCTCATTTAACTTGATCATAGTGATCTGAGCTGTATTTCAGTGGTATAAAAACAGTTAAAAGGAAAGTACTTTTAGAAAGCAAACTTATGTTTACCAAGGAAAGAGGGGGGGATTAATTGGAGATTGGGACTGACATATACACGCTGCATATAAGAACCTCCTGGTGTTTAGCGCAGGGAACTCCACTCAGTACTGTGTAATGACCTTTGTGGGAAAAGAATCTATAAAAGAGTGGATATATGTATAACTGATTCACTCTGCTGTACAACAGAAACACAACATTCTAAATCAACTATATTCCAATTAAAATTATTTTGAATAAAACAAAAATACTTATTTCTACTTAGGGAAGTGAAAGTCGCTCAGTTGTGTCTGACTCTTTGCAACCCCAAGGACTGTACAGTCCATGGAATTCTCCAGGCCAGAATACTGGAGTGGTTAGCATTTCCTTTCTCCAGGGGATCTTCCCAACCCAGGGACTGGACCCAGATCTCCCTTATTACAGGTGGATTCTTTACCAGCTGAGCCACAAGGGAAGCCCAAGTGGGTAGCCTATCCCTTCTCCAGTGGATCTTCCTGACCCAGGAATCGAACCAGGGTCACCTGCATGACAGGTGGATTCTTCACCAACTGAGCTATTTTTATTTAAATGCCCTTTATATTGAAAATATAAAATATTTATTTTATAAAAATATAAAATTTAAAATTTAAAAATATATGAGCCACACACAGATGCACACATTTTTATATATGTATACACCTCTGTCGTTTAAGAAATCACTTTGACCCATTTCTGTACTGTTGATCAGATGGGGAAATAGAGTTTTGTTCTCAAGTTTGTGAACAGGTCCAAAGCAAACCCCATATATGGGATGTGTGAAATCCAGGAGGCCTAGAGTCATCAAGGAAGTGAGTTTGGTACAATAGTTTGCACCGAGTGACTTGGTACTGGGAAAGCCACCCATCAACCCTTGGAATAAGAATGAAGTGTATTATTTTCTGTGGATGATGCAAAGGCTGAAATGAAAACAGACACAGTCATTTCTGTTATACAGACAGAAGAAGAGAGATGGGAAGACTTTCTGAGGGAGCTAGCTAGACATTTGATTTCAGGCTCTGCTGGGGAATCACTGTAGGCTCCTTCCCATAAACTGAGCATGGGGTGGAGAGGGACCAGATCACTTGATGCTGGAGGGTTGGGGGGATGGTGTTGCCAAGGGGTGGGTCTGAGAGGGTTCTCAGGGCAGGCAGCTTGAGGCGTGCTCTCTGAGTGAACTAACCGCGTTATTTCCTCCCGTCTCCCGTCCTCCTCCTCTGGCGCCCCCACTGCCTTCCTCCAGGTGAGCACGCCTACAAGTGTTCGTGGTGCTCCTTTTCCACCATGACAATCAGCCAGCTGAAGGAACACTCCCTCAAAGGCCACGGAAAAGCCCTGACCCTCCCCAGGCCGCGGATTGTCAGCCTCCTCTCCTCACACGCCCACCACGCCTCCCAAAAAGCCAGCCCGGCCGAAGAAGTGGAAGATTCCAATGGTAAAACCAGGCTTTGACGCGGGCATCCACCATTGGGGCGGGGGTGGACGGGGATTAACAGCCAGGCCTTCTTTTTAGAAGAAAATCGTATATGAAAACCTGATGGTTCAGGTGAAGGAAGAAACGTGAAAGGTTGGAACAGTATAGACGTTGGAGGTGGAGGGCGAAGTGAACCTGGTGAGCATCTATCTCTTTGGTTCCGAGACAAGACGTGTCTGCACGGATATGTGTGCAGCTTGTGAAAAGAGTGCGTGTGTCCTGGGTTCGTGTTGAGTTCTCCCTTGGTGGCTGAGCGCAGGACCGTGAGGAATACTGGGCGTGTTCATTCGTTTACTTACTGGTATTATTTATTGGTATGTATGCTGTGAAGTGTTTGGGGGTACCAGATGTATATGTTAACACAATTCAGAGCGGGAATGGAAAGGGTGAATGGTGGGGATATGTCATTTTGGAGTCACCTTGTGATTTTTTTTTTTTTTTTTATGGCTGAAGACTGATGAGGAAGCATCAGTTGAAGGGAGGGAGTAACTGCCCACTTTTGGAGCTTCAGGCTACATCCGGGAAGCCCTGGAGGGAGTCTCCTCATTGGCGGTGTAATCAAAGCTATACGCCAGAGAGAATGAGAGTGAAATGGCCCGTGTGGCAGAGCCCAGCAAAGCATGGTTGGTTTAGATCAGCCCAAGAAACGGAATGGTGTTAACTGCTCACCTCAGATGACTGCAGAGTCACATGCTTAGGAGAGGAAGAAGTCTGTAGGTTCTTGCTGAGGTAGGAGGGCTAGGAGCTGCTCTCTTTCCTGACCTGGTGTTGAATGCCTTCTTCAGCATCTCTGGTAACCGGCTATCTACCGCCAGCCTGAATACTTCCCAGGTCAGGGAACGGACTGTTTCCCAAGCAAGGTCTGTCGTTACGTCCTTGGTAGGAGCTTAGTGGGCTGGCAAGAAAGTTCATGGGCTCTTCGGAACAAAGGCTTGGCTTTGAGTCTTACTTCTCTCAATGCCAGTTGTGTTTTCCTGGGCGATCTTAGCTTCCTACACTCAAAGGTCAAATTGGATGATGATACCTACCCCTTGATGGCCTTGAGAGATTAATGAGAAAAGATATACATTTAATAAATGGTCATTTTATGCAGCAGTTTACATCCTTGGATTGCAGTTTTGGTCTTTGAGGCCGAAGCATGAGTTTGGGGTTATGTTTAATGTAAAGGTTTAAAAAGATAGACTTCTTAGGTTACCTGAAGATCTGACAGCTCCAGCATGTCCACGTGGTCTGACTATCTGATTAGCAAAAGAGTAAGTGATGAACCTTCATTCACAAGGTCTGAGAGAAAGCTGCGAGGAAAAGGAAAGGTAAGTCCTGGGACTAAAAGTTCCTTTTGTTGAGTTGCAGAATTTAGTGGCCTTTTCTTTGCCACAGTAAACACCAGGTTAAACACAGTAGCTCCTTGCTGGTATTCCTATCTTGAAGGACTTCTGTTTAACAGTGAAGGCTTATTATTATGATGGTGGCTCGTAATGAAGTGAGCACACTTATCTCTTCTGCTGATGTGTGGCAGTTTAGCCTGTGTTGTTTTTTGTTGTTGTTTTCCAGGAAAACTTGGAGTCTCAAAGCTAAGGGCGGCGGGGTTGGGAGACAGGGGCGGGGGACACATGTGAAACACTACAGAAAATGTCCCCTTTGCACCTTGAGCTTCTGTTCCTTGAAAGATGTTGGTATATTGCAACAAAGGCAAAAACAGAATTTTATGTACATTGTAAGGTCTTCACATGATAACAAGCATTTGCATGATTGTCAATGAGTTGCTTTTATCTGAAGTGGAAGCTGCGTTTATGGAGCCATTTGGGTGAAATGGGGCGTCCCTAGTGGCTCAGGTGGTGAAGAATCTGTCTGTAATGCAGGAGACCTGGGTTCGATCCCTGGGTTGAGAAGATCCCCTGAAAAAAGGAAAAGCTACCCACTCCAATATTCTTGCCTGCAGAATTCCATGGACTTTGGAGCCTGGTGGGCTACAATCCATGGCATCACAAAGAGTCAGACATGACTAAGCAACTAACACTTTCACACTTGGGTGAAATAGATCTATCCAAGCACCATTCCTAGCAAAGGCTTTTCCTGGCACATTTGTTTCCATGTTTTACCTTCTTTTCCCTTTGTCCTCCTCCCTTGGAAGGTGGGTCTTAATCCCCAGCACATGGACATCCTGCAGACCACTCAGTGCATGGCTCACCTTCCTCTGTGAGTGTGCTGGCTAAGTCACTTCAGTCATGTCTGACTGTTTGTGACCCTGTGGACTGTAGCCCACCAGGCTCCTTTGTCCATTGGATTCTTCAGGCAAGAGTACTGGAATGGGTTGCCATGCCTCCTCAGGGGATCTTCCCGACTCAGGGATCAAACCCATGTCTCATTATGTTTCCTGCATTGGTAGACAGGTTCTTTATTACCACTAGTGCCACCTGGGAAGCCCTACCTTCCTCTGCATAGGCTAAAAAAGAGTCAAGTTCAGTCAACTTTCTGAGCCTATACTCTCTGCCAGGAGCTGTGTGATGCACAGAAGAATCATGAATTAATACAGTGCCATTCTGACTGCCCAGTTCAGAATCAAATGTTTAGAAGATGTTATCAGCATGGTGTTGAACTAATCGCAGCTCTTAGCCTGAAGCCTCACCTTTTTCAGGGGGTGATTTCTGATGCTTGGAAGCTAGACAAGGTTAGGACCTTGGGAGAAGGATGGTTGCAGAAACATGATGAAATGATACTGGCTAACTCTCTGTGTAACACAGGTAGTCTGTTAGCCACAGGGAGATAAGTTCAGTATTTAAAAGTGTTTTTCTCTTTCTATAGAAGAAAGGATAATGAATGTGAACACTCTGAGTGGCCATTCTAGTGAGGCTTACACAGAACTCACTGGATCTGTGCTGATTTCAGTGTATGTAAATAATCTGGATCAGTGGGTCAGGAGTGATATTTTAAGTGGGGTGAACCTAAAGGTTTAAGGTGGGGTAAACAGAGAAAAGGTTTCAAATGGGCTCTTCTCATTAATGGATAATATGGAAAGAAAAATTAACAGTTTGTCCATTCAATCAATATTTTCTTGAATCCTTTCTATGTAGGTGTTGTGTGATTCAAAATGCCCAAGAATGATAGAAGAGGTTGAAAATGGACAGTCTATTTGCTGGGGAACCGATTGGTGGATTCCTAGAAGTTACATCTGGGGGACGACAAAACAGCTGTGGGGCTAGACAGTAGCCTGTAAATCAGGCCTTGAATGGTGTTTGAAACTCGCATGTGAAATCCAATTGCACATTTTAATAGGGAGAAGCTGCGGGGCCGCTGGCTCTCAGTTAAGGTTTCCCACACTGCAGATGCCAGGTCGCTCTGAACACAAGAACCAGAAATGTGTTGCAGGCCTGGGGGGAGTAGAGATCCATAAAACCAGGGAAATCACCAGTGTGTCCTTGGCTTTCTGATCCTCTAGTGAGACCTGTGAATAAAACGACTTGACATGCTCGCTGCTGGTTGCAGTGGTCACATGTTTGCCGTCTTGAGAATGAGCCAGTCTTTTCCAGCAGGACACTGGCTGAACAAGAAGGTTCTTCCTAAGCTGCTTTGCCTCCCAGCCCAGAGGGGAGCCCCACAAGGGGGAGAAGGGAGCCCTCCAAGAGAGCGAGGGAAGCCAAGAAGGCAGACGGGAGAGGGTGGGGTATGGGGGAGGGGGGCTGATTTCATTCCCACTGCCTGGCTGCACACGTGCTCTGGACATAAACAGAACTCTTAGACTCTGGGATGTCAGTCTTGACATGTCTCACCAGCATGTGGTCTCTGTGTATTCTCCATGATCTGTGGTTGGAAAGGAAAGCAGTGCTGATTCTGTGTGTAAGATAATGGGAAATGACACATAATTGCTATTCTAAACAATGCATTAAGTTGAAATCATAAGGTTGTCAACAAGAGGAAGTGTTCCGCTGTGTTTGTGTTTACTGGGTTCCTTCTGCCATATAAAATAGAGCACTGGCTTGTATCAGGCTTTTTCTTAGACCGCTTTCAGTACAGAAAAACACACATACTCATATACCTATAAAACAAGAGAGAAACTTAGAACAGTGTAGTTTCATGATGAGATTTGTTTAGGTCTGAGGAGTTCCCCGGGGCCTGGGTGCTGGATACATACCTTGAAATTCAGCTCTATCCTTTGTAAGAGGTCAGGCCAATAGTGACATTCCATCGTTTTCTTCCGTTCAGTTTCTTTCTTCGCTCTGTCCGGTTATGCTGCACAGAATGGCCTGCTTTAGGAAGCAGCTACTGTGGTGTGCTTAAAACAAAAACCAGACCCTAAGACCATGTACAAAATACATAAAGTATATGAGAATTAAGATAGTTTTTTAGCCTGTGCCCTAATGGCAACTTAGGGAAAACACCCAGAACTTTTGGCCATGAAAACCTTCTCCTTGTAAGACAGATCTCCATATAGCCCACCCACCAAGAGACGTCTTTGCTAGTATGAATTGGTAACAAACTATAAGAGCTTTGTGATTTATTTATTTTTTTTATAAAGTGAAGGGTTTTCTGTTACAACTTTTCAGTTGGTGTTTCGGTTGTAAACTCTAGAATGATATTTGATCAGCAGCATTTTTTATCAGGGCATCTCTCCTCAAAAAACCACAGGCACTTCTCATGTCGTATCAAAGTCCAAGTTGTCTTCATCGCATAACAAAGTTTACCACTTGGTCACACACGTTCTCCATCCTGCATGTTCTCGCCAACAAATCCTGTTTGCAACCATCTCTGTACTAATTGCCCCCAGCACCTGAGGTTGTCATTTCCATTTCTGTGCATTCGAAGCAGCTCTGCTGGGAGCTTGGAAGAATTTCCTGTGTGCTTCCGTCTGCCAGTCTCTGACTTTAACTTCTGCTAAAGACTGACATTTACCAGCCATTGGATACTCTGATTACTCATCCACTGATGATCTTCTTGGTGTTCATTTGTACCTGTGGATATGCTTT